CTTCATGCCTGACTCACTCAGGCCTTGGTTCCCCAAGGCCACCTTCTCAGTGAGACTCTTCCTGACCACCCCATTAAGCGTGGCTTCCTCCCTCTATGACAGCACCTTGTTTCATCTTCTTCATTACACTTACACTAAAACCACCTTGTTTTGCTGGTTTGTTTACCTGTGTACCGTCTGTCTCTCCACTAGAATATAAAATCCTCAAGGGCAGCCACTTGTGTCTTGTTCACAGCTGTCCCCTCAGGGCCACGAATGGGCACCTGGTATATATACCAGTGCTCAACGTGTTTGTTGAATGAATAAGTGACTATGATTGCTCCAGTCCCTCCACTTAAGGAAGCTCTAAAGGTTGTGGGTGGGGAGGTGTGGCAGACAGACTTAGCCCGTCTCTAGCATAGAATCTTCTATATATCCCAGTCCCCCAGAGGCTGGCCCTGTCATATGGAGCCCAGGAAGTCCTGGAGCGTGGGGCAGAACACCATGGAACAGAGAACAATTCAACAGGAGAAAATAACACCTACACGTGGATTGCGTGTTACATCCCACGCTACCTCATGCTAAAATCCCAGGATAGCTGAGCAAGAGCAGATCCCAACCCAGGAGTCCTGAAGTGACCGGCCCGCCTGTCAGCACAGCTCCTGGACTCCAGGGCCTGTGGGTGCACTGATGACACACCTCCAGGTGGGTGGCTGGGCTGACCTAGCACCCACCACCCCTTCTCAAGCAGTAGGACCCATCTCCTCCTCTCGGGGACTTGCCCTCCCCCACTTTCAGGTGATATAGTCCAGGTGGGGCTGACCCCACCCTCTCAGGGATCGGGGGCACCAACTCAAACCTGGACCGTGGGTGTTTTATCTCCTCAGGCAGGCAGGCTGCAAGTCTAGCAGTGCTGGCACCCATCACGCCTGCCCCAGAAAGAGAAGGGAGACAGATTCCTGGGGCCAGGCGTGATATTCCAGACTGAGCCTTTTCAATCATCTGAGCCAAATATTCCCTTTTTTTCTTTAGTTGCCTGGAGTGGGGTTGTGGCCCAGCTGGCACCCCCTTCCAGCTCATCCTTTGCTGGCTCCCACCCCCCAACTTCCCGAGCCTACCCTGCTATCTCACTTTGCATTCCCCATTCTCATCCCTGGACCCTTCTCCCAGCTCATCCACCTGGTAAACTCCTACTTGTCCCACCTCATTCAGATACTGCCTTCTCCCCGAAGCCTTCCCTGACTCCCTCAGACACGGACTGCCTTTCTTTTCCCACACTCCCACCATATCCAGCAGGTTTCTCGGTAAACCCTTCTTCACTAGGTCCTATCTGCCTTAAAGATCTTGTCAAGCTTCGTTTGTGTGGTCGTATTACAAAAATAGGGATTCCCTTCCCTTCCACTCTCCCAATACAAAATGATGTTTTAACAGTTAATGTAAATTTTCAACCAATGCCTACCCTACCCCAGACATTCTGAATCACTCCTCTGGAGAGATGTCTTCCCTACCCTTCACTGAAAAGCTGCAGCGAAACATCCTTCATAGATTCAGTAAACATCCGTGTGGCACCCTCGGTGGAAAGCATCCTATCGAGCATGGGACACACAAATTGTAAAACTGTATTATGACCATCCCTTCCTTCATCTGTACGAGCTAGGGAGATGCACGGAAGGTTCCTGCCAAACTGTTTAACCGATATTACTTTGGAAGCTGGCATTAGAGGGACAGAAGGGGGACTTCCCCTTCGTACTTTATGTAATTTTAAAGTGATAGGGCTATGGGCACTTTCGACTTTCTCAGGACTTTTTAAGTAAAACATTTCTTAGTGACTCCATGGTGTGTCTGTTTCCCTACAAGACTGGGAGCCCCTCGGGGGCAAGGCTGGGTCTGAGTCTCTCCTGACACAGAGGTGGGAAATGTCTGCGAAATGAGGGCAGGACAGAGCTGAACAGGCATCGGAAGTGGCATCAGCAGGCATGAGACACAGGCTGGGGAGAGGGTCAAGCTCAGAGCCGGGCAGCAGCGGACAGCAAGGGCAGGAGGAACATGGTCCCCACTGCAGCCTGGGTGCAGTGTGATGCCCAGCTCATGGGCTGTATGGGATAAACATTTGTCAGTTGGGGAAATGAGATAATGGTGTGACAGAATTCCCAGGAAACAACCTTGATCCAGCTTTGAACTTGCAGAGGACAGATGGAGAAGATCGGAGCTGAGAGAAGCTGGGGTAGGAGGAGAAAAAGGGGCTGGGCAGAAGGGGTTTGAGGAGACCTTGAGAGTCAGGGCCTGGGTGGGACAGCAGTTGGCAGAGGGTCTGCCTGCTGCTGCTGAGGTGCGAGGGGAGCCTGGAGGAGGTGGTTCTGAAGGTGTATGAACAGAAGGAGTGTCTGCTGCTCACAGGGGATGATGGCCTGGCTGGGTCTGCACCAGGCTGCCCTGTCCCTCCTCCCTTCCTATAGTCTTTGTTCCTTTAACAGACATTTCTGAGGGCACATTTGGACACAGCTCTGGGTATCAGGACTGTGGCAGAAGTGGGGCAGGAGCTGGGGGCTCCTACGGGCAATAGGAGGCAGGAAATGAAACCAACTGGAAGGAGAGAAGTCATTGAAGACATCCTGAAGGTGTGGACTCAAGCTGGGGCTGAAAGGATGAAAAGGAGCTGTCCGGTAAAGGGAGGGGGCTGACTTCTGTGTAGAAAGAACAGGAGCAGGGGCACGGAAAGTCGAGGCCTAGTGAAGCCCTCCCAGTCTTGGCACTGATCAGTGAGGCAAAGAGGCAAAGAGAACACCTGCTGCTGGGGTCTCTGGTGGCTGGAGTGGGAGAAGTGCCAGCTAGAGGCAGCAGCCCCAGATTATGTAGTTAGAGCCCTGGACTCCTAGGTCTGGCTCCCAAGTTGGCTCTGCCTCTTGAGTTCAAGTTGTGTGACCTGGGGCAGGCAAGTCATTTCGCCCCCTCGCCCTGGGAGCCTTGGCTATGGTGAGAATTTGTGGGTCCAAGGAGGTCACGTTAGCACAGTGCCTGGTACAAAGGCAGTGCCCTACAGACTAGATACAGCAACAGTAGCGAGCCAGGCATTCGGAGGCTACATTCGGAAGAGTCTCTACAGAGTAGGGAGGCCAGATTGCTCTGTGTGTTTCTGCAGAGCCAGGCCCAGAGGCAGGAAGCTCAAAGGAGGCAGAGACCCGTCAGTGTTAAGGGAGTGCTGCTCAGTAGCAGAACGGCCCTTCTGAGGCTGAAGGCTGTCAAGGGAACAGCCTGCCGGGCACTGGACAGCTCCCTGGTGTAGACAGCATCACAGCACTGGCGCCAGGGGTTCCGTGGAACAAGGTGGAAAGAGGGGAAAGGATCCGCGGAGGAGTCATGGGAGACACAGGGCTGGGGGATGTTAAACCGGGTTCCTTGCTGTAGGGCTTCTCAGAACCTTCACTTCCCTGCAGACTCAAATGTTTATGGAAACCAAGTTACAGCGCAAAAGGGTGACATGGGCAGGTGTAGAAGGGGAGGGCTGGAGAGAGCAGCCTGTCAGAAGAGGAGGCCTGCCCAGCTTCTACCCTGCTCCGACCAACTATCCTTATGGGAAGTCTGTTAGCCAATCATGGGTTAAATTGTGTCCTCCAAAAATTACCGTGGGAGTTCTCACCCCTGGTGCCTCTAAATATGACCTTATTTGGAAATGGGTCTTTGCAGATGTAATCAAGTTAAAATGAGGTCGTTAGAGTGGACCCTAATCCAATGACTGGTGTCCTTATAAGAAGGGGAAATTTGGACACAGAGACAAATGTGCACAGAGAGAAGAGGGCCATGAGACGACAGAGGCAGAGATGGAGTGATCCATCCCCAAGATTTCCAGCCACACCACAGGTTAGGAGAGGCAAAGAGGGATTCTTCCCTAGAGCCTTCAGAGTGAGCTCAGCTCTGCTGACACATTGATTTTGGATTTCTGGTCTGAGATGATGATGAATTTCTATTGTTTCAAGCCACCCCGTTTGCGATACTTAGTTATGGCAGCCCTAGAAACTAACACAGCCACTAATGATTCCAGGAGTCTCCAGAATGGGGAAAGAGAATGTAGCATTTTCTAACTCGTAGATCACAGGCCCCTTTCTGATAGCGTGTCTCACTGGATGAGCCAGGGGACATGATATGGGGGCTCTGATTCTGGTTCTGCCTTTCGTTTTGCACCCACACAGGTACTGTTCATGGGGGTGGGCCCTGGTTTCCTCAGCGGTGAACTGAGGATAACGCACCAACCTTAGAAAATAGAAACCGGGTAGCCAGGCACTCCCATCAAGAGGAGGGTGTCCTCCCTGTGAGCCTCGCTTTACCCCTCTGAGAGGGAAGTGGCAGCATCTCCCAAGCCTTCCTGGGGTGGCTGGGAACTGCCTGGCACGTGGCTGGTGCTCAGCATGGTCCATGTGGACCAGCCGGGCCCCTGCACCTCCCGACTTCCCTAGGTCCTGGGCTGGAGGGAGCGTGCTCCCTGGGGCTGCCCTTACCTGTGCAGTGAGCTGGATGGGCTGGGACAGGGTGAGCTGTGGGGTCCCGGGGGTTGGCTGGCAGGCTGTGGTGGTGGCAGGTCGCCTCCCCCCGAGGAGGCTGGGGGCTGTGAGGTGGAGGAGGAGGCAGAGGAGGAGGAGGAAGAAGAGGAGGAGGAGGTGGAGGAGGCGGCAGCGGCGGCGGCGGCGGCACTGGACTGCTGCACGGCGGCGGCCAGGAGCTGGGCCTGCGCTTGCTGCAGGAGGAGCTGCTGCTGAGCTGGCATCAATGCCGTGAGCTGTGGGCCGGTCGGGGGCAGCAGGACCAGAGGAGGGGCGTGGGAGTAGGGGGAAGCAGAGAAAGCAGACAGGAGTTAGTGCCTGAGCCAAGCAGGTTAGCGGGAAGTCTTCCAGGAAGACAGAGGAGGGCAAGAGGCAGGCATTGACAGAGTGGCCTTGGCCTGGGTAGGACATACCGGGCCACCGGTCCTGTAACAGATTTGAGGTGACTGGCCTGTGCCCCCTGCCCTGTGCACCCCGAGTACTTACCCCGGCTAGCTGGCTGCCCGTCAACATGAGTTGGGCCTGGGGCAGATGTGGTTGAGCTGGCTGGGGGGGCGGGGGTGCTGCTGGGGCTGAGTCACCAGTGGGGTCTTCAGCCTTGATCTGGGGAGGAGAGAGGCAGGGTCCGGGACCCCAGAATGTTAAGTGGAGGCCAGAGAGAATGCCCACCTGTGAACCAAAGAAAGGGCATGTGTGTGGCCATGGCAGCCCCACAGCAGCACAGAAGGAGCAGACTGGGGTGTGGAGGTGAGAACTGTGGTGACCGGTGGGGGCCTCAGGCCACCCCTCTGGCCTCAGTTTCCACATCAGTCAGCAAAGGCTAACACACCCCCTGCACCTGAACTCCTGACAGAAGAGGGCAGCTTCGGAGAGTACCTTTCCCCTTTTGGGAGTCAGTTTCATCCGCAAAATGAGAAATGAGGCCAGTGGGGGCCCTGGGATGTCAAATAAGGGGGTTGTGGGTCCCAGACCTCTCATCTGCTTTAGCCAGAGGGGCATCTCTTATCTGTCCAATGGAATAAGACTTTATTGGAAGAAAGGATCTTAGGGTGATACATAAAAATCACCGCCTTATAACACAGGTCGTGAATTCAAAAGTGTATGGAAATAGCACAAATGCGGGTTGCGGGCAGGTGTGGGCAGGTGTGGGCAGGGTGGCTGGAGAGAGCGTGCCCACCTGCCTGGAGGGGAGGCCTGCCCAGCCCCTACTCTGCCCCTGCTGGCCACTCATTTCAAAATCTAAAGCAAAAAGGCTTCAGGACCAGCAAAGGGTATCTGCAGGCCAGATGTGGCCCGGGTGCTGCCAGCTTTCAGCCTCCACCCCAGAGTCCACTGAGCGCCTCCTCATCTCTCTGTGTAGGATGCAGATGCATCTTGCATCAAACACATAGGACAGACCAGCTTAGAGCGCTCCTGGCCTCCTTCCTCTCTTACATAAGAAGCCAGATGACAGTGGGCTTGCTGGAGAGATCTGTTGGGAAAAGACACATGGGGTGGGAGGAGGTGTGACCTGACAAGTCACACACTCTCAGGCCCAGAGGGGACATTAGAGATCATCCTTCAGCCCGATGTCCCAGCTCCATTTTTGCAAGAGGAGGTCCAGAGAGGGAAAGCGACTTGTGCAAGGCGACACAGTGACTTGGTAGGAGTGAGCGTGGCATTTGCAATACAGACTGAGACCAAGAGACAGACAGAGGTCTGGGAAAGGACAACGACAGAGAGTTGGTGGCACGCCCCAAAGATGGGATACCAGTGTCGGAAAGTCTAAGGGATACAGGGATGCAGTGTGAGATGACAGTGGGTCCTGGAAGCCCTCTGGTGGGGAATTCAGGGCCTCCTGTAAGTCTGGTCATGTTCTGCTTCTTGATCTGGCAACACAGTTGTTCAGTTTGTGAAAATCCACAGAGCTGTACACTGAGTATCTACATGGGTGTGTCATATATTAATTAAAAGTTTTTAGAAAAACCAACACTGCGTGCCATTGTGAGAACACTGTTCCTCTCAAGGCTCTTTCTTCCTCTCTGGGTCTTTTAAGAAAGTCTCCGTTAATATCTCCCAATACTGGCTAATCTCCTCCTTTTAACAAATGGAGAACCGGCCTCAGACTTAGACTCTACAGCAGGCAAGAGTCTCTGAGTACATGCTAATAATCATTGCATTTATTTCCATGGCAAGTGATTCTGGTTTTCCATTCATGAAATTTCCATTTAAAAAGCGTTTTATTTCAACTGGTGAAAAAGTGAGCCAGTTTGTGAGTTGATAATTGTTGAAGCTGATTGACAGATACCCGGGCTGGTGGGGAGGGAGTTGTTTTTACTATGGTCTTCTTCCTACTTTTCTGTCTGCTTCACATTTTCCATAATAAAATGTTTTTAAAAATTGAGGCAATTAACAAAATTATGATGTAAATAATTGTACACGGTAGTGTGTGCGTTTGTCTGAAATTGTGATGGGAGCACATGAATCACTGCAGTTAGGGAAAGACTGACACAGAAGAGAGGAGGTGAGATGGAGAAGCAAAGGCCGGGAGCAGAGAATAGGACACGGTGTGGATGCTGCTGCCCTCTCTGCCTCCGGCTTTCCCCAGGGACCAGGTCCAGGCCCGGGAAGGGGAGTGAGAACACTTTCTTCCTTGGGACCCCTGGTCTCCCAGTGCAGAAACAAGGCTGCTGTGGGGCAAGGAGAAGCTGCAAGATTCAGCTGAGGATAGGCAGGCCAGGGCGGGAGCAGGGGCACAGGTCGGTGGGTGGGGGCGATGGACACTCTCAGTTCCAAGGGCTAAGGCCAGAGCCCAGTCTGAGATCAGAGGGAAGACGGCCAGAGCCTGAATCCTTCTCCCCTGGGCCCTGTCCAACATGCTCAGGACAAGACACCTACCCCTCAAGCAGCATCAAAGCACACCAGCCATGGAAGGGACCTCAGAGACTGTCCAGTCTGACTGCCTCTACCCTCATATTAGAGAAGAGGAAACTGAGAAGCCCAGAGTGGGGAAGTGATTTTCTCATGGTCACAGAGCAGTTCCCAGCCTCCCACCCCCATCCCTCTGCCCTTTGGTCAGGGTCAGGAGTCCTGCCCATGGCCCTCTGCCCCTGCCCTCTGTGCCCTGTCAGCTGGCCCCACCAGGCTGGAGGGTGGAGACCTGGGCCCCGGGCACCCCAGGAAGCCCAGAGTGCCCAGCAGCAGGGCCCCAACTGGATTTGGGATTTGCTGTATCTTGCCACTTCCGGCCTCCCCATCATCCTCTCTGAAAGCATCCTCACAGCCATCCTCACTGGGTCTGCCTCCCCCACCCCCTCCCCACTGGTTGGCTGGCCCTGAGTGTGTGCGTTGGGGGGTGGGGGTGGTGCAGGCCCCTGTTCGGTCAGGGAAGTTGGGATGGGGGCGGGGCCCTCAGCTTCCTGTTGTTCATCGCCCTGGGGCTCTGGGGGGGATTTCCCTGGCCACCCCCACCCCCCAGGGAAGGGGAAGGAGCCTGGGTGAGTCACAAGCCTGGGGCGGGAACCCGAGGGTGAGAAGGGGCGGTGGAGTCCTGTCACCGAGGTACCAGGCATCCGGGACCCTCTCCCAAACGCCAAACACCACCCACCACAGGACACCCGTCCCCCTGCCCTGGCTGAGCTGACAGGTGCTTACCTTGGTGCTGGGGCCAGTCGGGGACACGGAGAACGGGGAGGTCTTATTCTGGGGGTTCTGCGAAGAGTAAGTTGGGTTGGGGGATGGGAACAATGAGATGGAGCAGCTTCTGACACCCTGCCCCTCCCCCCAGAGCTCCCCTTGGCTTCCTTCTCCCCTCCGCCTCCCCAACCCTCCTGCTCATCCACTCCCTCCTGACCTGATGGTTAGTGTCTGGTCCATTTCTTTCAGTGTCTGCAAAGAGAGGGAAAGGGTGAGTTGGCACCAGCCACACCCCAAAATCTGCCCGCACACCTGTCCCAGACCATAGTGACCCTTTGCCCTCCCTGCTCCCTTCCCCACTCACCTGTGTGCTCTGACGGGGAGTCCAGACCTTGCTTCTCGGCCTCCAGGGGCTTAGACATTCTTATTTCTGGAGACAGAGGAGGGATGCAAGTGGGGTGAGGTTGCAGAAGCCAGGAGGGCTCTGGGGCCCCTCCTCCAGCACCACCCCAGCCTCTCCCCAAATACCCCCGCACCCCCTGCCACCTTGCAAGTGTCACTTTCCGGGAGACATGCCCTCTGCTCTGGGCCTCTGCCCACCTCCAGCGGGACAGAAGAGGGGCTTTCAGGCCTCAGGGATCCTCTTCACCCCTCCAGAAGGTGGCACGGAGAGGGTCACCCCGCCCCCATGAGACCCTGGGGCAGGGTGGGAGGTAGATGTTGGTTGTTGGTCCTGAGGAGGCTTTGGCTGCCCAGGGGGAGGTTGGTGATGTTCTAAAGGAGCGAGTCAGCCTCGGGCCTCCTCTCAGGTTGCCGCCCAGGCCCCCGTCCTGCCTCACCAGCCTCACCAGGTTTCGGGTGAGGCATGTTTTCCACTCTGAGTGGGGCCTGGGAGGCGTGAGGGGACTACAGCATCCCCAAAGGAGTGAGTCCTCAGATCTCCGGCTGATTCAGCCGCCCTCTGGCCCCCTCCACAGCCCACCACTTTCCCGTCCACACCCCACTCCCACTGGCCTCCCTTTGGGTACTCAGCACACAGGTGGCCCCACTCTGATCTCTGTGACTCCAATTCCAACTCCATCAGCTCTGCCCCAACCCTGTCCTCAGACTTAATCCTAGACCTCACCTGGGACTTCAGCCTTGAATCCTAACTGCACACCCAGATCCAACTTAGAGATCCTGCCCCTACAAATACAATCCTATCCTACAGTTCCGCAGGCCCAGGAAATGAAAGGAGGTGGCTGAGGGGAGGTGACAAGCAGCAAGCTGGCACCAGGGGACACAAAGCAATGGAGACAAACCCCTGTCCTCACAGTATTCTGATGCTGATCATGGAAAGGTGAGTGTTACCAGTGCTGAGCACAGTGAGAAACATGATTCAGGGCTCACATTAGCAGTTGGTGCTAATATTACCCCCATTTTACAGAGGAGGAAACTGAGGCTCCAAGGGGGATCTCACCTCCCCAAGAGCACAGTGAGACAGCAGAGGTGACTTGATTGGACCCGGGTCTTTGTGACTCCAGTACTGCTGCCATCTGATGGACCCGTTCGTGACTTCCAGCACCTCATCTCCCACAGTCACTCCAACCCAAGCTCACCCTGACACTGATTCAAACCCAACCCTTCCTCGTTGTAGACCCCCACACAAATCCGGGCTTCTGCCTGACCCACTCTCAATCCCCTTACCCACCCTGATTCCTAACTCCCATCCAGATGGCCTGAGTCCTTCATCTGATCTCGACTCCCAACTTGGCCCTAGACCTTACTCCTGACCCTGACTCTGACCCTAAAGTCTCCCCCACAACTCATTCCAAATCCCTGCCAAGACCACGACCCCACCCTATCAAAGGAGCTGTCCAACTCTAGTGTGCTCTGCATCCAAGATATTCACACAAGGCCAGCTAAAGGAGGAGCTGGGATAACCTCAGCAATTGGAAAAAAAAAAGTCCAGGAATTTTGCCATTGAGGATTACTCAACACAAAACGCCACTAGGATTTTAAATTTCTGATTAAAAAGCCAGGTCACACACTGCTGGTGGGGGTGTAAATCGATACAAGCAATAATTCAGGAAAGCTGGAGAGATGCCCCTTCCCTGTAACCCAGCACATCCACCCCCAGGTGTCCACCCAAGAGAAAGGAGCGTCCTGCCCACGAGCGCCCACGGGCACACATGTTCCCTGAGGTCCTTTTATAATATGCTCCCCCAACTGGAAATAGCTCAAGGGCCTGTTAACAGGTCAACAACATTGGTACCTCTAGACAATAAAATACTCCACAGCAAGGAAAAGAACCAAATCCTGCATCACACACACTGGATCTCAGAGACATGATGCTGAGGGAAAGATGTCAGACACAAAAGTGGGCAGACACTAGGACTCCAATTTTTATGTGAAACTCAGAAACAGGCAAGATGATATTAGATCAAGGTCAGATTAGTGGGCACCTTTGGTTGAGTGTTGACTGGGAAAAGGTGTGAGGAAGCCTACAGGGGGTTGGAAATGTTTTTTATCCTGATCTGCTTGGTGGTTACGTGGGTCTATACATATGTAAAAATTCATCAAGCTGTACATTTAAAATTTGAGCACTTTGCTATATGTACATTATGTTTTCATAAAAAAGGAAAAAATTCTAAGCTAAAAAAATTAAATAATAAGCCAGCATATAGTCCTATTAAGGCATAAGCTTATGAGGGTGGGGTGGGGAGCAGGTGACCAGATGCTGCCAGAGCTCAGGCCCTGTTTCCAGGCACTGAGTGGCTAAGGATGCTGAGAGACACAGGAGGACACAAAGGGAGCCAGGGGATGAGGCCCTCCTCTCCTGACTTTGGGGTATCAGAAGCAGGAGTCCTGCTTGATCCTTTAAATCACCCAGACCTTGGCCCTGCTCCAGGCAACCACTAACCCCGATGCAGCCCTAAATCCCACCCTTCTTAACATTCTGGAAAGCCCTGCCCCAGCCCCCTCCCCAGCCCCTCCTTCTAGCTAGTGTCCACAGTGCCACAGGGAGATCCTTCCCTGGCCCTGAAACCTTCCACGGCTCCCCGTCTCCCCAAGAAAAGCCCAGGCTCCTCATCCTGACCTCCAGGGTATGGCCCCTGTCACCCTCTGCTGCCCGTCTCTTGCCACTTGTGCAGCCTGCTCTATGACCACGGAGTCCAGACCTTACAGGTTCTACACTCCCGGCCTAGCTAGCGAATGCCCCTCCCACAGACCAGGGAAGCCTCACCTCCGCCCCAGAGTCCATGCTCATTCTTGGCCTCTGTTAGGGGTTGAGTTGTGTCCTTCCGTGTTCATATGTTGAAGCCCTAACCGCCTATTACCTCAGAATGTGACTTTCTTTGGAGATAAGATCTTTAAAGAGGTAATTAAGTTAAAATGAGACCCTTAGGGTGGGCCCTGATTCAATACAGCTGGTGTCCTTATACGAAGAGATTGGGACACGGACATGCACAAAGGGAAGACCGTGTGAAGATACAGGGAGCAGATAGTCATCCCAAGCCAAGGAGGACTGGCCTCAGAAGAAACCAACCTTGACCTTGGACTTCTAGTTTCTAGAATTTCAAGAAAATTAATTTCTCTTGTTTAAGCCATGCAGTGTGTGGTACTTTGTTATGGAAGCCCTAGCAAACTAATACAGCCTCCCACAGACGTGCCTTCTCGCTGTCCTAGCCCTGAGCCCACAGGGCTGTGGTCACCTGCGTCCCGGTCCTTTCCCACCAGACCAGGGGGCAGGCCTGGTCTGACTCACCCCTGAGTCCCCGGCATCACCCAGCTCAGAAGACTAGAGAGAGAGAGGAACATCCCTCCCTGCAGCTCTTTTTGTCTCTTATTTATTCCTGCCTCTGTCCTGCTGTCTTTCCAACATTTAACAAAGAGCCTTGGCATGGGCTAGTCCCTCTGCCTGGAATGCTCTTCCGCATTCTGCCTGGTGACCTCCTAGTCATCCTTCAGGACCCAGCACGGGCTCTGTCCTCCATGAAGTCACCCCTGATGTCCTCAGAGGTCTCTCCTCTGTTCCCTTTACTCTGGATCCATCTACCTGTCACTGTCCTAAAGGCTGTAGCCATCTGGGCCCCAGAATGTCTTCCCCATCAGGCTAAGAACCCCTTAAGGGCAGGTCTGGCTCATCTCAGGGTCCCTAATGGGATGTGTGGGTTGAATGAACAAGAGTGGCCCCGAAGCCCTGCTCTCCCTCCTCCAGGTCTTTGCCTCTGCTCTTCTCCCACCTGGGGCGACCTCTTCCTTCTCCACTAGCAAACTCCTGCTCATCTTTAAGGCCTAAGCTTCACATCACCTCCTCTGGGAGGTCTTCTCTGACTACCCAGTCAGTCAGTGTCTCTGTTATCTGGGAACCCCCACCCCACCCCTGCCCCCTAAAGTACCCTGACCACCTGGGCAGTGACCCCCACCCTATGCCCCAGACTGTGGGCTCCTTAGGGCCCAGGCTGGAATCACTGCCGCCCAGTCTAGGACTGTGTCTTTGGAATGAATGAGTGCATGAAAGAGTCCCCTCTCCCTGCTGTCACCTGACACTTTGACCTTCAGCCCTCTCCCCAAGCAGCTCCAACCTAAACTTTTAAGGTTACTTCTCCTCGGCAGAAATAGTGTCTGGAGAGGCAAAAGTGGTATGAGGGGAAATTTCCACCACTCTGTTTTCCTTATTCTTTCTAATCCCACCCCAGCTCCCACAGAGCCTGCACACCCAGGCAGTACTCCGCTGGCCCACAGCAAAATGGCCAGAGCTGCGCTTTGCCCAGGTCTCTCTTATTCTCCTCCTCCATCAGAGCCCAATGGAGAAAAAGGGTCTCATCAAATCATCCCCACCAAGGATGAACAGGGGACTCCATTTCCACCACGGATGAAAGCCACGTGATACTTAATGGGGACCCTGGCAAGGGGTCTGCCGAGCCCGCCTATTCTGTAGGCTGTCTCAGACTCCACACAATCAAGCCTCTGTCTCTCTCTCCTCCCCTCCTCCACTCCTCCTCTAGAGAAATATTGATACCTAATTCCACCCCCAACACTCTGATTTCATTGGGACAGGGTGAGACCCAGGCATCTGAATTTTTTAAAGCCTCCCTCCAGGTGATTCTAATGTGTTCCAGCCCCCTGGCACCTCCAGAAGCCCCCCTCAAAGCCTCAGTTCATTTGCACAGAAATGTTGACTGGTTGCTTAGGGTCACCCCTGCCTTCTCCCAACGCAGGCAGTGTGCAACTTTTTAGAGGAACATGCAGGGAAAAGCAATGCTGAGGCTACTGGGCCTCTTGAATCCCACCATCCTAGAGTCAGACCCACCCAGGGCTGCCACGCCCCTGGGCTCACACTCGCTTGCCCCACTGCCCCAGGCCTGGGACTCTGGGTCCCCTCCGCCCTCCCTCACCCCTCCCTCTACGGACTTTCACTTCTCCTCTGCATTTCCCCCAGCCGGTTTTAGCAGACTTGGGCCAGCTTCTCGTTAGCACTTACCGAAAATGGGGCTAAATATAGAGGGCCCAAGGGCTGCCCCTCACCCCTCCTGGCCCCACTTGGCCTGTCCCTTGGGTCCCCTGCCTCCAAAGCCTGCTTCAATCAAGGCTGTGGCCTAGGAGCTCCTGTGGGCAGGGTCGGCACTGCCGGGAACCTCTGCTCACCCACTGGCCCAGTCTGGCTTCCCCAGGAGTAGCATTTCACACCCCCACACCCCACAGCTGTCCCGGGCTGGCCTCCAGGGAGTGAACACTTCTAAGTGTCAGGAGGAGGGATGGAGATACAGGCAGCAGACACAACAAGAGAGGCGGCCCCACAGCTGTGCTGACAAGAGCTGCCACACAGTACACACACCACAGCCCCAGACATGGACGAAGACCATGCAAACACACAGGGCAGGTGTGCACAGATCCCAGACAGGAATGTCTGCAGATGAAGACACATGCCTAAACACAGTGACACTGGCAGATATGCAAAACACACCCAGACATGTGTGGATACACCTGCGTGCGCACACACACACACCCCCAAGTCACCCCCAGACACGTACTCACGCACAAACCCCAGTCACTCACAGAAATATTGATAGATATAGATATAGATGTACATACACACACACCCGGGCCACTCAGACACACACACACACACAGGTACACATTTATTCACCCAGAATCACTCAGACATACAGATAGACACAGATGAGCATACACACAGATACCGAGGTCACTCAGATAGATACACACATGGATGTGCACATACTCACACACCCAGAGTCACCTCTCCTGGGAGATGGTCAGGGTGGATCCCTGAACCCAGTCCACAGATATGGAGCCCAGGATCAGGCAGGATGAGTGATCTGCCCAAGGCCACACATGTATTAATTCATGTCCAGGTAGGGGAGCCTAGGGCAGGCCTCGAAGGCAGGGCAATTCTGTGAGAAATCCCAAGTAAAGGGCCTAACCCAGTGTCCAGCACATACAAAGCCCCCATTCAACCCCAGAGAGGGATGAGTTAGTGGTGGAGCTAATGGCATGTGTGTGCAGGCACCCTGGCTCCCCATGTCTACATTGTATGTGTGCACACACACATCCACAGTTGCACATACGGTCACCTCAGTAAATAATCACTTATCATCCTGCAAGTGGTCTTCCTTCCATCTCAAGCCCCTCTTCACCTTCCTTTCCCTGCTCATACTCACTCATTCTTCCCATCTCAGCCCAGACATGCCCTCCTCCAGGAAGCCCTCCCTGACTTGACCATGCTGAATTGGGCAAGTCTTCTGGGCTCCCCCAGCCCCCTGTGCCTCCCACATACCCCAGTCCTGACCCATCTGCCTGGACCTCCTCCCCTGTCTGGTGATAGATCTATCTCCCAACATTGGACTGGGGGCTCCAAGAGAAAAGATCTGAAGCTGCCTTTTTCATCTGTATTTCCAACATCCAGCATAGAACTGCTCAAATAAATATATGTTGATGACGGATCACAGGGATGCCAGCATACACTGATGCACGTAGAACGACACATGCCAAACTAAGACATCCCCACAGACACCCACGAATAGGACACACACCCGTAGTCACACCTATAGGGCTACAAACAAAACAACCATGAAGTATGGAAGCTCGCCACATTCCAGGCCCCCATGCTAAGCTTTTAAGCGTATTACCTCACTTAACTCTCCCATCAGCATCGCCCAGAGATAACTATCATTATGCACAGATGGACACATTATGCCAAATGAGCCAACAAATACAAATCGCTTTGTACAGTACTCGGCGTACGATGTTCACTCAGTCAAGTGACATTCAGTGGGGGAGGCAATTCATAAGCGCACAAACATAATAAATTTTCATGCAAGCATTAAGTGCCATGAAGAAAAGATAGAGCAGGGCGAGGGGCTGGAGAATGGCGGGACTGGTTGGCAGTTTAGATGGGGAGGTCAGGAAAGGTCATCCCGAGGAGGGGGACATCTGAGACAAATGAAGGGAGGAAGTGAACCAAGAGAGCAGCGCCAAGGCTACCCCTACAATGCCACACACAACAGCCCCTCACACACGGGGCACCTGACAGTCACACACAGAAGATTCAGAACTACCGCTCACTTGTGCATACACAGAAGCACCCACTCACTCAAAGGTCCGGTAGCTCAGCCTTCCAGCCCCTGTGCACCCTGTGCAGTCCCCTCCCAAGGATCACGCAACTCTCCCATCTGCTGGTCCTCCAGACAACAGCCTGCTACCAACACCTTCTACCAATGCCTGCTACCAACAGAGAAGGGGAGAAGCAGGTCTGTCTGTGGAAGCCCCCAGGTGCTGATGTGAAAGGGGAGAGGAAAGAGGAGCTGAGGGGTGGGGACCCCAGATGGGAAGAAGGGGAGCTGCTGAGGTACAGAGTGAAAGGGTAGAGAAGACAGCTAAAGAGGAAGGGCAGAGCGAGCCAACGACCCGCCCAGCGGGACAAATCCCAAGGTGCTGCCTGTGCTCCCGCCATAGTGCGGGCCCAGCCCCTTACCTGGAGCCCCCATGCTGGAGTGAACCATGCTGCCCGCCCCGCAGGGCTGGGGGAACAACTGTGTCATTTCCCCGCCCTCTCTGGGGGCAAAGCCCTCTCCTCCGGAAGTCACCCAGGGAGGAAACCACAGGGCCCGCCCCCTTCGGAAGGGAAAATACCCTGACCTGAAGGCCCACCCCAGCAGGCAGCGGACCCCAAATCTTCTGTGTGTATTGGGGAAGTGGGGGCAGTGGGGTGGAGAGCAAGCCCGCTGGAAGAGCTGACTCCAACAGCTGTGTCCCCACGAGACGCCTCTAGCCCTTCTGCTGCCTTCACATATGGAACATGGCTGGTGGGTCTGGGAAGAAAAATGGGACCGTAACAACAACATTAAAACACCGGCTAGCAGTTTGCAGGGCCTTTCCCAATGCCAGGCCCTGAACCTCACACTAGACATGCATCATCTCTTGAGGTGCTCACTATTTGCCTCATTTTACAGACAAATAGACTGAGGACCAGAGAAGTTAGGTGGCCTCCCTAAGGGCCCAGAGCCAAGAAACATCGAAACCAAGAAGCAGGGCAGGAGGAGGCGTTCGCGATAGGTTTCCGCACCGCTGTGGGGAATGGGGAACCCAGCCTCGAACCTGTTCGCAGGTGAGGCGTTCAGGGCCACCACTGAGAGGAAGTGGTGCCCGTGGGCAGTGGGAGGGCCGGCAGCAGGTCCAGGTCTTCCAGGGGGCAAATGCGGGCGCCCGAGGAGCTCTGGTGGAGGCAAGCACCTGGTCCCCTGGCTGCTGGCTGGCCGTTCGCGCTGCGGCGCTCTCAGCCCAGCGCTTTCCTCCGTGCCCGCCAGAGGGCGGCAGCACCCAGCCAATGGGCCAGAGGGCGGGGCCGGCTGCGGAGGAGGGAGCCCCCCCTCCCTCCCGGTCCCCGTCTCCCCCCCGAACTCCCGCCCCCGCGCGCACACCTGCGAGGGTCACACAAAGGCGCAGGACTCCCGGCGCACG